TGATTGATTGATTTTTTTCCATTGCCTAACTTTTACATCCCCAGTTCTGGAGCTTGACAATGGTGAACACAGGCCGTGTAGTGAAGCTTTTATGGAGCATTTTACTCCTTGCACTGGAGCATAAAAGTGAGTGAAATAAGAGAGAGGAGCCACGGGAGATTAAAAAGCAGAGCCTGCACAAGAGGTACTCTGTGTGGTGTGTGTGTGAGAGAGCGAGATTGATTCAACAAGGATTTATTCACAGTTGCAGGCAAGCTGGGGTGAGTGGAAACTGTCTGAGGACAACATTCAGATGACTGTGACTGCAGCTGAGCCACGCTCCATAAAAGATGCGCTTCTCTGGAAAGTTTCTTGGGCTCTGGTCCTGATGCTGTGGGATTCAGGTGAGGTCAATCTGAGGGAAATGTGGAGCCTGGAAGCTAGATCTCCTCCCTACTATCATGGCACCTGTGGGAAAGTCTTGAGCTGTCCTAATTTAAGATGCCCTAGTAGCAGGGGGTTGGGGATGGTGAAGCAACATGGCTCAGAATGTTAATAGGCTACAGACCCTTTCGTTTAATCTCTGAGCCACCCAGCCAGCTATCTGGCTGACTACCTCTGGTGTTCAATAGCCCCCAGCCCCAGAGTGTCTAAGTACACTTGTAAGCAATGATCAAGTCCGCCTAGCGCCAGTTAGTAGCCACTGGAAAATAAAGTGGTAGTTTTCGTTATGGGCTTCTATAGGATATACAACAGCAATTTTCATTAGAGAGCTGATTCTGGGAGAAAGAGAGGGGACTTAAACAGGAATCTGCCACCTCAGAGGTAGGAAGTCCTTATTCCAAATCTTCCTTAACAGGCAGAGGCAGGATTTGAAGCAGAAACTCTAAGGATCTCCCACCTCTTACGCAAGCATCCAAACCGCTGGACTACAGAGAGATCCTAAGTGGCGTGGGCTGCCCCAGTTAATAAAGTGGAACAGCTCCAACAGGAAAGGAAGCTTTCTGTTTAAATGAAACCCCTTTGCTGGCGGAGAGAGGAATTGAACCAAGTTCTTCTCCAACGTTCCAGGTGAGTGCTGTAACCACTGCCCTATAGAGGGTTTTTCACACCTGTGTCTTGCTTTGGCCCAATTAATAGTTAGTTAAAGTGGAACAGCTTCAAGAGGCAAGGCTGAGGGTGCTCCTTCTTCAAATCCCTTTGCCTGATTAGGGCATTAAACCAAGGTTTTCATGCTCTCAGCTGAGCATCCTCACCACAGTGCTATAAAGGGCTTCTCCTGCTTGTGTTGTGCTTTGCTTTGCCCTGCCCCAGTTACTAGTTGAAGTGGAACAGCTTCAACCAGAGAAACCCACATCAGAATACCCCTTACTTCCGTTGTTAGGCAGTAGCACCTCACTCAAGACAGCAGTTCCATACTAAAATCCCTTTTCCCCAGGAGGCAGTGAAAATAATTAAACCAGCATCTACCACATCCCTGGGCTATAGATTGGGAGGGAGAGCTGTTCCTCTTCTCATCACACAGAGAGAAGTCTCTCCTGTCTTCTAGGTGGGTGTCTCAGCCTCCCTGATGTTTAGCTCAATGGTTGTCTCCCCACAACTGCCTTATGTGGAGTGAGGCAGCCACTGAGCATACCTCCCAGAGCAAGTCCCTTGGGGAAGACATGCAGGTTTGGGGCCTGAGGCATGAGCTAGACCTCTGGTGCCTAGGTGAGAGTAGTACACATGTGCAGAGGCATCTGATGCCAGGTGCCTCCAGGGTTGGGCAGGGGCCAAGGAGCAGTTTTTGTGGAGTGCAGTGGTGCCTAACACTGGGACTTAGGCACACACAACCAGAGCCACAAGGGGATGTAGGTGCCTGGGGCGCAGACAGACAGTGTGCCCGTCCTTAGCTCCCTGACATTGTGTTGTGCAGCTGTGACCTGTACTGAGCAGTCATTGCAGTTCACACCCCAGCTCCAAACTGCATCGACATTGATGCTGGAGTTCCCTGGGTGGTTTGTCCAATGTAAAAACACATCAGAGGAAAGGGGCTCCGTGAGCCCAAAATTTTACCCCAGATGCAATTCTGGGTCTTCAAGCTGGCGTACCTGTTCAGGCCAGTCTGGCTCTGAACTTTAAAGTGCTCTATAATGCGTAGAGTCAGGCTGGCTTGGAAATTTGTGTGCTCAGAGAAGGCTTTGGGGTCAAGGATCTGTATTTAATTTTAGAGAACATTGAAAGTTTACTTCTAGATGCTAGTGCAGCCTGTGTGTGTCTTGTACCTGTTGGCGTTCCATGTCTTGCTCCAACAGCCCCACCTTGTAGAACCAAAGTGAACGTTTGTTCATGCTGGGACTAGTGGGTTTTGGGCAGCTCAGGAGATGGCTAGTAAGATGCATTCTGAGTGAATATGCTCACTTTCCCCCCTAGCTTTGTGATTTTTTTTTTTCCCCCAGCCCAAGGGAAAAAGGGTGAAAAGTCAGCTGTGGTAGGTCATCAGTAATAACAGGTTACTAAGCCTGCTCCAATTACCTACATTGTGAGCAGTTTTAAGGGCAAAGAACAGAAACACTCAGACATGCTCACACATCAAAGATGATATGACAGTCCTGGAGGTAGCTACATCTCTGCCTGTTGATGGCTTAATAACTTAGGACCATTACTTTGGACAGAGTTGACCTAACCAGAACGATAATGAATTAGCCCCAATGGACAAATAGAGTTTGATTATAGAAGTCTAAATTAGCTTTTGAAATTTCAGATTGTAACTCCTTTGTTTGGTTGCCTGAACCTTGTAAATTAACTCTCTAATTTCCTTTTCCTATTTAATAAATCTTCAAATAATTTACTATAGGATTGGCTCCCAGCATTGTCTTTGGTGTGAAACCTAAAGCACAATAGGTCTGGGCTAAGTGACCAGTCCTTTGAGACAGAGTAACCAACCATTTATCAGAGTACCCACAGGAACCATCCATGACTCCAGGTTAAGGCTGTTATGATGCCCAAGGGGAGTTTACACTTGATAATGGGTTGGTTGTGAGTTCTACACTGAGGAAACAGGGCACAAACCCCACAGTGATGAAATCTAACTCTTTGCCCTTAGGGCTGTACTCTTGTCAATGCAGGCAGCATTATAACTTACTTGTTTTGTGAGTAAACATAGCTCTAAGCATTAGACATTCAGTAGCTCATAGTTATACCCATGTACTCGTATGAGCAACAAAGGTACATGTAGGAGTTAGAGAAGGGCTGTAGAGTGTCTTTTATATATAACAGTAATGATGCTTAGTAGAAGTTGTTTCCATGTACTGTGATTGGAAAAAAAAGGAATTATACTTGTACCAGGTGCACTTTAGACTTGTCTGTGGCCAAGCCGATAATATCAAAAATAGAGGTTTTATCTGTGTAACTTCATAAAAATAGCACAAAAAACATTTTCCAGATTAGTCCATTCTACAAATATTTTAGTGTATTACATGACTACAGACTTGCTTTAACCAAAACAAAAAAAAAAAAAGTCAGCTGGGGCTAAATATTTTATGCTCTTTCCAAAACACTACTCTTGAGTACATAGCTGCATTATCAATTGTATTTTGAAGTTTTCTGCCTATTTTGGTCACAAACTATGTTTCTATGAGTTATGGCCTTTGAGCATCCAATCTGAAAAAAACAACAAATATTTTAACAGTGTATGATATAGAAAAACACACCACTTCCAACATGTGCATCTACCCACCCAACAGGTGATAGTAATGAATTTTGTCTAGCTGATGGGTTACCCTGGAGTGCCCCAAAATGGATCTGGGCTAGTAGTTTAATCTGTGACTAAGTGTGTCCAAATTTGGATGTGTGCACGCACATGCACACAGGGGCACTCAGGTCTTTGTGTGGGTGTTCACGTCTGCATTTGTGTTCCATTTAACTTCTCTAAAGAAAAAATCAGCAGGGCTAGCTGGTGCCAATAGAAGAAATAAAAAACAAACTTTGCCTAGCTGTAGCACCTTCCACCAGAGGATCTCCAAGCACATCACAAACATTAATTACTTAAGGCTCAGAACACCCATGGGTGTGGTAGAGGCAAACACTTATCCCCATTTTACAGACAGAGAAATTGAGGCACAAAGAAAAGTGACTTGCCCAAATCAGTACCTGAGAACAGGAGTCCTAACTTCCAGGTGCATACCCCATGGGATCTCAAGCCTGGATTAGAACCTCCTTGGGCCTACAGGTGATCCATTTCCTCAACCACCTATTTGGGCAGAATGAGGAAAGGGAAGAAGAGAGCCCACTTTTGGCATATTGATTAAAATATTCTCAATTGATAAGCATTTGTAATTATTTCTGTTGTGTTTTCATTGAGCATGTGAATTGCTCATGTAGATATTAGGCCTGACCCAATTCTGTAGCTATATTAAATAACCAGCTCCTGGCCTGCAGCCCTCCCTGCAATTCCATTCCATGGATCCTTTCAATCCTGAGCAGTAGCACCCCTTACTATTTCAGTCTTGGGACCTTCCCCCCAGACACCTACATACAACCAGAAGCACCATTTCTATTCCAGTCCTGGACCAAGACACAACTCTGCCAATGCACTCCTGACCTACAGCTTCTCCTGAACACACATTGTCCATTGGAATAAATGAAGATGGATGTTCAATTTACTTTTTAGTGCTCAACTTCTAGGCCGCCAACCTAATAGTCAAAAGCTTTGGTCTCATTTCCAATTTAAATAGGTAAGCCATAATATTGATGGTTTGCAACAGATACATGATAAATTGAACTCCTCCATCAGCTAGCAGAACCTCTTTTAACAGGGAATGTAGTACAGTGATAAATTCCCACAGACAGGATTGCTATGCAATAGCATAATATATCTTCTATTCCATCTTTTATACATTATGTTTAGTCCTGCATTTTAGTGGAGATATTTATGGACTGGGAGATTTCCTTTGAAGAAGAATCAGCCCCAGCGTGCATCTCTCTAACAGTTTCATGGCCTTGAAATCCATAGACCATTCCTTTAAAGAATCCAAGCCTACCTTCTGAATGGAGCAGCTGCTGTTATTGGAGGGTGTGGGGTGTGGCTGAAGAGTTCAAATGGTCCCTCATGACATAGCACAACAAGTCTCCAGAAGCTCAGCAGAACAGAGAGTTGCCTGGTGCAGACATGAGCCACCTGTGGGAGGGATGCAAAGTTAAGAACTCAAGAATTCATTTATTTAACACAAGGTTACTTTGCACTAGTGTGAAGACCACCACATGCACAGAGATCTGGTTCAGTTCCTGGTCCAGTCACGTCATTGTTCCATGCCTCTGTTTTCCCACCTGCCAAATGGGGAGAGTAATAATCTTGCTGGCAGGGGAGTACTAAAAACCAATTCATTGATACACAAATTCCTGCCTCTGTGCGAGCACAGCCATAATACAGACTCATTTTCCTCATCTCTTGCATTTTACCCTGAAGGCAAAAGCACCAAGGAAACACTCTTTCAATAGGTAAACAAGAAGAGGAACTCTCCTGCATCATAATCTTCTTTCATGTGCATCTGCCTCAAGGCATCTCATTGGTAAAATTAAAGCAATACAATTAAACCATAGCTGGCTCCCAGGTGCCCTGCACAATGTGAAGGAAGAATGTTACCTGTGCATGCAACTGGCTTGATACTTAAAAACAGTTAGGCCCATTCCCACTTAGCTTTTTAATTTAAATTTCCTTCCACATTCTGGTCTGTGACCAAAAGTTGTTCTCATCTGCTGCTACTTTCAGCTCAATTCCTACTAAACATGCAAAAAGAAAAGGAGTACTTGTGGCACCTTGGTTAGTCTCTAATTTATTTGAGCATAAGCTTTCGTGAGCTACAGCTCACTTCATCGGATGCTGTAGCTCACGAAAGCTTATGCCCAAATAAATTGGTTAGGCTCTAAGGTGCCGCAAGTACTCCTTTTCTTTTTGCGAATACAGACTAACACGGCTGCTACTCTGAAACCTTACTAAACATGCAGCATCCTAAAATCATCACAAATGCAGGTTAGGAATACAGAGATGGTAATTAATCCCTGGAACAGCTTACCTAGGGAGGTGTTGGATTCTCCACCTCTCAAAGTCTTTACATCAAGGTTGTGTGCACCTTTCTAAAAGACAGGTTTCAGAGTAACAGCCGTGTTAGTCTGTATTCACAAAAAGAAAAGGAGTACTTGTGGCACCTTAGAGACTAACCAATTTATTTGAGCATGAGCTTTCGTGAGCTACAGCTCACTTCATCGGATGCATACCGTGGAAACTGCAGTAGACTTTATATATACACAGAGAATATGAAACAATACCTCCTCCCACCCCACTGTCCTGCTGGTAATAGCTTATCTAAAGTGATCATCAGGTGGGCCATTTCCAGCACAAATCCAGGTTTTCTCACCCTCCACCCCCCCACACAAATTCACTCTCCTGCTGGTGCTAGCCCATCCAAAGTGACAACTCTTTACATATTCAAGTCGGGCTATTTCCTGCACAAATCCAGGTTTTCTCGCATCCCCCCCACCCCCATACACACACAAACTCACTCTCCTGCTGGTAATAGCTAAAAGAAATGCTGTAACACAGACAGAAGCTGGGGGCTCAATGCAGGAATGACCAGAATTGAGCCCATAACTTGGAATGGAATTCTCTGGCCTGCATTAAGCGGGTCAGACTTGATGATCAGCAGAGCTAAGGAAAATTGAAATTTCCATCTCATGGAAAATTCTGATCTCAACATTTGCTTTCATCTCCAAAAATTGAAATATCAACATTTTTTGCAGAATAAGAAGTTAAAAAAATTCTGTTTAGAAGTGAAAAAATGTTTCATTTCAGTATTTTCAATCAAAAGGAAATATTTCAATATTCCCAAATCTAAAGGTTTTGTTTCACGTCAGTTCAACTTTAAATGGTATTTCCTTGAGGTGTTGCCTCGTGGGGATTATAGTTTGGATTTCTGATACTCCTATTCTCCTCCATGGACCAGACTCCATCTCCCATGATGCATCTACGTCCACATAACTCCCACGATGCAAATAATGTATTTTCAACGCTTGTCATTTGTATATTGTGTTGTCGTTCAGGTGGGGGTTGATTTAAAAGGTGGAACTGATTTTGGGAGAAGGGGTAATCTTGTATTTTTTAAACTGTGTGCATTTTATTGAGCTATGCTTATTTTAAATCATGTATTTATCTAATTATGCCTTATGCCCCAGGGCTAAGATACTCATTAATTAATTTGATTTGACTCCCACAATGTATGACACCAAATGCACAGATGACATACTGCATTGCATCATGGAAAATGTAGTCTGGCCAAGCAAAAATAACCACAGCGATGCTCTACCAATCATTGCCGCTGTCAAGAATTGGTTGTCCACATGGTTTTATTGCTGATTAGGCAAATTCTCTCTTCCTACTGTAACATCAGGACAATTATGTCTTTGTCCCCCTCTAGTGGCTGTACCATATAAAGACGTTTATGAGCCCAGTGCTGAGGCTGCTCCTTGAGTTCAAGCTGTAAGACCCAGAGGTCTTGTGTCTGATCCCTGCATAAGAACCCCTCCAGGTCGTCACCATGTGACATAATGATTGACGTTTTCTGGCATTCCAACCAGCAATTCAATAGTTTCCAGTCATGAATCAGAACTGCACGGCCAGAATGCCAGCATTGAGAAGAGATGTTATCAAGGAGGGGGAGGGAAGAAGGGAAGGCACCACACCCCGATTTCAGCAGTTAGCCATCAACAGTGTCTGACTGACCACAAGACAATATGGTGGCTGTTATCACCACGTACAACCAAGCTCCATTGTGTGAGGGGATGTACAACTAGGAAGCAAAGGACAGTCCTCACCCCCAAGCAGTTGATAAAGTCTGCACACTGGTGTAAATCAGGAGCAACTCCATGGAAGTCACAAAACTTACAGAGGTGTAAGTGAGATCTGAATCAGGCCCCAGCCCTCCAGAACTAAGCAAAGGGAACTGCCAAAAGAATCATTTGATTCTTGGGTTCTCTGCAAGGCAGCGCATTAGGAATGAATTCTGCAGCTGCTGTTTCCTAACTTTGCAAAGAAACTGTTGCATATTCATTTCCAGGTAAAAGGAAAGTGATCGAAGAGCAGGAGAATGCTCACTTGCAAAAGCAGGAGTGCTAATACTTTGTACTTCTCGTCTATTGTACCTTGCACTACTAGAGGAAATCAAACAAAGAGGAGAAGCATCACAACCTGTGCAAGCATCATTATCCCTGTTTAACGGAGGGGGGAAACTGAGACATGGAGGATCAATCAAAGTTACGCAGCAGGACACCTGAAAAGCCAGGGAGGGAACCCAAGAGTCCTGACTCCCAGTTGCCAGCAGTAACCACAAGACAGAGCCTAGTTTTCTCTTGATTTCATATGCAAGTCCCTGCACGGCCCTCTCTAAACTTTTCTTTAATCACTGGCCTTGATTCTTATTTTTTCTTCATCAGAAACTTTTGAAAGTGACATCCACAAGTAAAAGGGAGAAAGAGCCATGTCCTCAAGGAGACCTTCCAGTATATTATATCTATGCACATGCAGCAGGGAAGGGGGAAGAGACTCGTACATCTTGGCTTGCCAGGGCTCCCTCAGCAGTCACCAAATAAATCAAAGCGCAGTCAGAGCTGCGCAGGCAGACAGGAATGAGAAAGTTAGAGGAAGGCAAAGAGATTTGGAGAACGTATCCCTGACTTCTGGAGAGGGTTTTATCTCATTAAAACAAATGAACAGATGCCTATTGCCTGCGTCGACAGGGGAACTGCGATTCCTGATTACACTTTATAAACCCCAAGCTGTTTACTGCCTCAGCAGATAAGTTTAGCCTTTAAGAGGAGGAGATACAGTCTGGGGTTTATACATTTAATGGACTTTTTTGTGTGTGTGTGCGATAACACATCTCACTGAAAAATTGATTCGGAGACCAGCCCAAACCAAACTCTGCATGCAACTGCCATCTCTGGGTAGCTGAAAAGGGGGAACTCGCACTCTGCCCAGAGCCCTGCTTGTAACAAGCCAGGGTTCTCAGAAGCTGCAAGGCAGAGGGGTCTAGCTGGGGAAGAGGAGCTCATGCTGGTTACTCAGGGTTGTGTGAGGGATTTTGCTCCTGCTCAGCGTCCTCCTGAAGGCAGTGGGAAGAAGCTATAGCACAGCTCAAGCCCATGATCTTCTCTCATGCAGATGACAGAAAGCTAGGGGAGGTTGCCAGCGCTTCAGAGGATAGCGCTAAAATTCAGTGGGATCTTGATAAGTTGGAGGACTGGGCTATAGACAACAAAATGAAATTCAACAAAGACAAATGTCAGGTGCACCACTTAGGGAAGAAAAACCAAAGACAAATACAGACTGGGGGAAAACTGGCTGGGCAGCAGAACATCTGGGAGTTGTGGTGAACCACAACCTCAACATGAGTCAGCAATGTGATGTTGTTGCAATAAATAAATAAATAAACAAACTTTTAAAAATGCAATCTAAAATAGCATTTGCTTAACAGAGGCATTGCATGCAAGTCACGGGAGGTGACAGTAACTGCTCTACTCAGCACTTTGACCTCAGCTGGAGTACTGTGTCCAATTTTGATCACTAATGCATAGAAAGGATGTAAAGAACTGGAAAGGATCCAAATGCAAGCCATATGAGCAAAGGCTGAAGGAACTGGGTATGTTTAGTTTGGGAAAGAGGAGATTAAGGAGGGGATATGATAGTGGTCTTCAGCTACTCGAAAGATGGAGAAAAGTTGTTCTCTCTGGCCACAGAGGGCAGGACAAGGGGTTCAAACTACAGCACAGCAGATTTAGATTAAATCTTAGGGAAAGTGTCCTTCCTAGGGAGGTTATGGGAGCTCCTTCACTGGAGGTTTTCAAAAGGAGCTGGATAGCCCTGTGTCTTGGATGGTTTAGATACAAGAAATCCTGCATCTTGCCATCCTTGGGGTCCCTCCTAACCCTACGGTTTTATGATTCTAAGGGAGTCTGAGCTACCGGCAGGATCAGAGAGTTTGTGTCAATGAGGCACAGGAGGGCAGATGGCCACATTGTTTCTCTCATTCCTTCAAAGAGGTATTTAGAGGGTGCCTGTACCATTACCCACAATGCTCTCTGCTGTGATGCCAAGGCACCTTAAATGAGCAGACAGGCT